TTCAAGATAAGAGAAATGAGACTGAGAAAGATTAAGATACTTTTCCAAGATTGGACATGGTGTTCCTACCCACTGTGCTTGCCTAATAGGTATGTGTTCTGGTTTTGACAATCAAGATAGACAAAATGAGAGAAGAAACATTTGATTATTAACTAAGAGCAGGAAAAGGAGAAAGAATTAAAAGAGGGGAAGAAGATATGTAAGGAGGAAAAGCAATAAAATAGGAACCAAGCACATGCTATCTTATAATTTCTTTAAAATTTTCTTGTCTTTTAAAAAAAGGAATGAGAATCTTTCATTAATTTTAGAGGGCATCCCATGCTTTTTGTTAAACAGAATTTTATTGATTTTCCCACTAAATGCAAATATTTATTGCCCATCTACTATAGGCTATACATTAACCTTTTGTTCTGCATAATTCTCTTCATTGAAAAAGGTATAATTTTTCAACATTTATTTTGTAGATTTATAGCCAAGTATTGTTCATATAGCTATTGGTTTCACTTTGATCTCCTCTATTCAGAAAAGCAGAACAATCAAGAAGAGATTTTAATAACTAATTTTAAGATAAACATGAAGATTCTTGCTTTAGGTTTCTGTGTGCACTGTATAGTTTGTTTCGAAATTATTTTTGTATTCATTCATTTTTCCTAATTTTTGTTGCAGTTGAGAGAGAGTTTATTTAAGCACAGAGATCCAGCACAGAGTGGAGTTCTGGACATAATTTCAAGTTGCCTTGAAGACTGATCTGTAGAACAAAAGAGAAACTCAAGATTTTAAGGAAAAATAAGTACAAATGAAGAGAAGGTGTGGGTGCAAAGGTTGTTAATCAGTAATTCTCACTGGTTTACCGAAATAACTTTGACTCATGATCGACTATGTATTGTTGAATTATAGGGTGTATGGCATTTAAAAATGTATTTATTTGAAATTAATTTGTTTAGATTTTTATGGATTTAGGGGTCCAGGTGCAGTTGTGTTACATGGATATGTTGTGTGGAGGTAAAATCTGGGCTTTTAGTGAAGCATTTCCCAAATTGTATAGATTTTAGACAATACGCGGCATTCCACGTTCACCCTTGGTCCATCCTTCTGCTGCCTGGAGCCTCCAATGTCCATCATTCCACTCAGTGTGTCCACGACCACGGTTTAGCCCCCACGTATAAGTGAGAACGTGTAGTTCTTGATTTTCTGTTTCTGAGTCATTTCATTAAGGGTAATGGCCTCCAGTTCCATACACATTGTTGCAAAAGTCATAGTTTTATTCACTTTTATGGCTGAATAGTATTCCATGGTATATAGCAACGAGATTGATTTATTCAATCACGTGTTGATGGACACTTAGGCTGACTTCACAAGTTTGCTATTCTGAATTGTGCTACAATAAACATACAAAAGCAGAAGTCTTTCTTATATAATGATTTCTTTCTTTTTGAGGGGTACCGGTGCAGTAGTGGAATTGCTGGATTGAAGGGTAGTTCTATTTTCAGTTTTCTAGATATTATCATAGGCTCTAGTTCTCCTGGCTAGTAGCAAGGCCCACACTACCACACCTGGCTATTTTTTTCCTGTTTGTTGAGACTCTGCTGCCCAAGCTTGTCTTGAATGCGTGGGCCACCCACTTTGGCCTCTCAAAATTTTACGAGCACGAACCACTGCACTTGGCCATTTTTGACTGTTTAATAACAGCCATTCTGACTAGTATAAGACAATATCTCATTGTGGCTTTAATTTTCATGTTATAAACAATAATTTTTACAAGTAGGGTTGATTGTAATATTTCATAATTTTGGACAATTGTAGTATTTATCAGTATTTTAAAGTGATCAAACTTAGTGGGAAGACTGGTTTATTTTTCGGTTGTATGCATAGAAAATTCTATTATAAAATCAATGTCATGTAATGAGGCTAATAGTGACTCAACAGTTGAGTATGAAAACATAGAAATAACTTATTACACTGTTGTGTCAAGTAGGTAATTAATAAAAACGTTATGCTAGCAAGTAAAAAGTGCATAAATTAAGGAAGAGCAAGTCTGCCTTTCCTCTGCAAGGTGGTTGGATGGACCGATGGGGTCAAAGCCAGTTGCGTCGTGAGCAGGAGACAATGTGTCTCCTAAGCTGCAGCTCTGAAATGTCAAGCCGCCTCCTGCTTAGCTCATGGCTTCTTTCTGACTCAATGAAAGACCCTGCTCTCTAGTGTCAGGGGCTGTCAGAAACTTTGTTTATGAGTAAGAAGAACATCCCACTGCTGGGAGAATCTATATCCACCTTTACACAGAAGCACAGAGCTACACAGAAGGGATTTCTGGACAGAATGTTGCACATCTGGCTGGACTTTACAGTTTCTGAGGACATAGGGCCTAGGTTCCACTTTGCAGACCAGACTTGACCCTGGGAGCTTGACACAGAGGCCCGCCGTGCTCTGAGTCCGTCACTACAGCCTCAAATCGCTCCCCAAAGTCTTATAATCAACTCTTTTCTTTGTTTTTGTGAGTCATCCCAGGTTTCTTGATGTGAATTTATTCCCTTTTTGCTACAAGCTAATAATCCTGAGTGTGTTAACTGCAAAATCTGTTTTGGTGACTGATTGCACTAGGATGTATATTATTTTCCTGGAATTTCAAATGATTGTAAGAATTATTCCGGATTTTAAAATGAGTAATTTGTTGTGCCTTATTTCTTCCTAAATAAACACCAGCTTTTGTGCTTAGTTTTGAATGGTTATATTACACTATTTTCATGCAGATAACCCTGTGGATCATGTAAGCATCAGACCTCACAGAACTGGGGTCACCGCGGTCATGGTGCTGAGAATCCACCTGCTCAAGAAATGACTACACTGGTTCTTGCTTCCCAGGCTTTCAATGGACTAGTCTCTCTCTCTAGAGTGATTTGTCTCTGCTGAAAGACTGAACCTCTGTGGTTTTAGTCTTTTAGCAAGAATTCGTGGTATTATTTTTGCTAAAGGAACTCTTAGAAGAGGTGTGGAATTTCCAAAACATCACCCTCAGGAGACTCCTTCCTACTCCAAACACCGGGTAGCTTCCCGACACAGCCCAGCCCCTCAACTTGGTCGAGAAGACTGAAGTCCCACCTGCTCACCTCAGCCTCCCTGTGCCCTGCTCCCCTGCTCCCCTCCTAGGGAACAGGCACACAGGGAGAGGGCAGAAGGAGCCCACTACAGAGCCTGACTTCACCCTCCACTTCTCCGAGGAAGAGAGATGTCAGAAAAGTTGCTGGTTTACACAGAGTCACCTGTCCCTTGCGTGCTTGGATGGTGGTTGCTTATATCAAGACAGACCCTTCACCAGGTAGAGAACCATGAGGGTCTCCATGCAGGGAAGACTTCGCCCCTGGCCACCACTCCTGGGCACCTTCTGTTCTCCTCTCGGCCCTTCCTTTCCAGCAGAAGCGCTGTGTGCACTCACCCACCCCACTGATACCGGCTGAGGCTCAGACTCAACTCTCCCCAGCTCACGGCCTCCTGTTTGCAGTTTCACTTCCTTCAACCCAAAACCTTGGTGAAATCCCATGGGGGTGGAGCGGAAACGGAAGCAGCTGCTCCCCACTCTCCTTGCCAGAACATTCTCCTCCTGGCTTTCTAGGTGCAGCACACGGGGTACCAGCCTCAGGGCTGTTTGGGCAGTTTCCCCTTTGTCATGCCCCCCCCGGCTCTTCATGGTAGCCTCCCTTGGTGTATGCTGCTCTAAGTGTGGAAGATATTTGAGAACTCCGCCCCAGAGGCACCTGCACCCCTCTGCCCCGAAATGGCAAAGGGGAGGGCTGCACAGGGCGGGCTGAGACTTAGGACTGTCGCCTTTTCTTCAGAGTGCAACTACCCACTGTTCTACAGAATGGTTTTGACACTAAGGGGATGTTATTTATTAATTAAAACATCCTCTTTATATAAAACAAGAGTTCACTGCATGTCACTTTCATTTGCGTTTTACTTCTCCAACCCCACCAAGAAGCCCGACCTGAGTGCTTGTTTTAAATCCGAGTCCAGAAAAAGGGCTGCTGGGAGTGAACGTGTAAAACCCTCCCAGGGCACAGCGTCCCAGCATAGGAAACAACCTCCCAGCCTGGGGCACACCTCCAGGACGGATGACAGCCCACACTGCCTTCTCTGTGTGACCTTGCCCGTCTCTGATCTGGTCGGCATTTCTCCCCATCAGTTTGCACACACACACACACACACACACACACACACACACACACACTCTTTTGGACTTTGTTTTCATGTAAGGGCCCAGTCTCCTCTGGAAAGAAAGAAGCAGACATCGATCGCTATGTATTTAGTGTCTAGGGGACTGGATGAAGGAAGCTGAGTCCCTGGAGTCTGCTCAACTCTGCAGGCACAGATGGAATCCACGGCCTGGCCAGCTCCACCGAGGCCTGGCCCCTGCCTGTGGACACAGCCAGCCCCTCCTCCTGGTCTCACCAGGAGCTCAGACCAAAGCAGCAGCCCAGCTTCCGGGGCAGCAGCCTGGGCGCCCGTCTCTCCCTGACCCCTCACTAGGGGCCGCTGCGGCTGAAGGTCTGGGTCCCCAGCCCCTGGCTGCTCTCTCCCTGTTCTGAGGCTCAGGTCTCCTAAAGCCACGGCAGCTCCTCGGATGGCCTTGCTGTGGCCGCCTCAGCTCCCAGACGCTCCTCTGATCTCCACACCAGCAGAACGAGGAGGCTTCATGAGGGAACCACGGACACCCCGCCTGTGTGCACATGCCCAGACAGCCAAGAACTCAGAGCGAGGCGATGCTACTGTTTTATTGCAGGAGGTGGGGGGAGGTGTGCGCTGCACACAGGGGCTGTGAGAAGCAAGAAGGAAGGAGGGAGGGCAGCGCCCCCTGCCGAGCCACAGAGGCCTCCTGCCGCCTTCTCTGTCTCCTGCTGCTGGGGCGTGGGGAGACCTTCCCCAGGGTGGGGGCCACCAGTCCAGGGGTGGGAGACTACAGGGGTGGGAGTAGGCGGTGGTCGGTGCGGCTGGCCTGGCACAGATCCTTAGACTTTCCGACACCTGGATTTCACCAGGGACATTCTGTTCTCCCAGGGAACTTCGTAGATATGGAAAGAGCAGAACTGTTTCTGTGAAAGGGAAGAGAGAGGGACAATCAGTGTGGGTCACAGTTAAAGGGGAAGACACCTGGGCATGAGATGTCAGAACCTGCGTGAGGATCAGTAGAGGTGAGACACTGGGCCCCCATCCCACCCTGCTGAGTCCCTGAGCACCGAACTAGAATAAATAGTGATGATTCCATTGCCCCTCCCCAGACTCCAGGTCCCCAGGGGGCACTGCCCCACCCCAGCCTGCAGGATTCCTGCCCTAGCACAGCCCTGGGAGAAGCAGCCTGTGCAAGGCCTTGGGAGCCCCTAGGGTGCAGGGAGGGGGAGGCAGCTCACTGCTCCCAGCTCCTTCTACCTTCAGCACCCAGGCCAGCACCAACTGGGGCCAGAAAGAAGAACCCAGGGCAGGGGAACACCCCCTCAAATAGCTGGGACATGGGGAGGGGGCAACATGGGGATTTGTGGCTCTCCCCTGAGTGGAGACCTCACTAGAACCAGCAGGTCCTTGGAGCGGCTGCTTTCGGATGAGTGGGGCAGGGCTGAGGATTTGGTGGTAAACAGGCCTCTAGTTCCCTCTAATCTGCTTAGTGTGGCCATGGCTGCAGGCAGGTGCCTGAGGCTGGGATTAGACAGAGCCCCTTCTCCCTGCCCAGCACCCAGCCCTGCAGCTGCTTCCTACAGGTTGGTAGGCAACACCCCACAGGAGGCAGACTTGACCTCCCAGTAACCACTACCAAGCTAAAGACTTCCTAGCAAATCAAATTCACCACCGCCCTCCCTCCCCACCTCATCTGCACACGCATAGGCAACTACATAAACTCATTTGGACCCCTCACCCACACGGATGTATGCGGAAACCCCTATACATCCACACACAGGCACACATTCTCCCATTACCTTCCCCACACACTGGCACATGTGTGTACAGACGTGCACCTCTCCACATGCACACCCACACCTATCCACACCCCTAGGTACATATCCATGGCTCCCCACAAACACACCTGGATACACACATACCCTCCAAATGTGCGTAGGGCAGAGGCTGACACACACACCCCTCTACAGGGCACACTGGCCTGGGACCCACATCGGGAACATACCATCTGCAGTTCTGGCTGTTCACGGAAGGGACAGGTGTCCAAATTGGGCTGGGACTTGGTACATGTGGTTCGGCCAATCTCTACGTCGAAAAAGTAGTTGGTCCCGGCCACGGTCTACACACACGAAAAAACAGGACACACAGACAGTGCTCTCCATCAGTGACAGGTGCCCACAAGTGCTTCACTGTGGCTGAGTCACTGGACTTGCCTGGGACTTCGTGAGCTGCCCACACTGTCACCACAAGGCACACAAGCCCCTCCTCCTGTCAGCTGTCAGGGTGCCGGGCCTCATGCCCTCTCTTAAACATTGTGTTCTCTGTGCGGGGCAAAGGAATCATTGAATTCTGCTACCTGTGGCTTATGGGCGAGGGGACACTGAATCTTTTCCAGGAAGGCTGTCATCTGATGACAAAATTTCAGCTAACTTCCTAGAATCTCACACCCTCCATAGAACCTAGATTCATCTATTACTTCATTTAATTGTAGGAAATGAGTTGCTTCACACGCATAGATATTTGGGGCCAACAAGCACAGCTTCCTGGATGTCTCCATTTTAAATGTGAGATTCCATCAACATTCTAAAGGCAGCAGCACACCTACGTGTCTCACAATTGCAGAAAAGAATTGAACCCTTTCCCTACACCGGGCCTCCCAGGGTGCTGGATCTGGTCCCTTGGAACCAGGAAAACCTGCTGAGCTCCTTCAAGTCTTAGTTTACCCATGTATAAAATAGGGTCTGGGCCTGATGCTCTGCAATGCCCTGTGCTTCACTCCAAGTTACCGTCACGCTTGAGAGGGAGGTGCAGGAGAGTGGGGACCGCAGCACCAGGGAACGCACCCCATGTGCAGGGAGAGGGCCCCAGCCGAGGGCTGCAGGAGGAGAAACGGGGCTGGTCTGGACTCCTCTGAGTTTCCAAGAGAAGGTGGAGGAGCTCTAAAGGCTGCGTCACTGTTTGCTGCTTTGCCATGGGATGCAGGTTAAGCTGGAACCAGGGTCAGCCTTAGAGGCTGTGCCCAAGGGTGTGACTTGGGGAGGGAAGCAGGGCTCTGCAGGACAAGGAGCCAGGCTCCCGTGTGGCCCCTGTGGAGAGGGCTCAGGGAGGAGGAGGACAAGCCTCATGGCCCGGATCTCATCCTGAGCAGCGCCAAGTCCACCCCGAGTCAGCACAGTCCCCATCCACACCTGCTGGACCCTAGGGAATGCCACGGTCACGGCACAGGCACAGCGGCTCCTGCAGGTTAAAGGAGGTGGAAGGGACAGGACCGTGGCCACAGTGCATGTCCTGGGACCGGCCTTGGACATGAAGGCCGTCAGCAGAGAGTCAGGGAAAGCCGAATGAGTCTGAGCATTAGATCATGAATGTGTCAGTGTTGATTTGCTGGGAATGCCCTTGGGGGTGGAGTGACAAACCAGGTTGGGACTCAGGACCCCTCAGGTGGTGGCGGCACCCACCTGCTCTCTGGCTCGCAGCGTCCGAAGTGGGCGTCTGTAGTATGCATCATTGGTGGCCTCATTGTACTCGCTGATGGCGAAGCGAAGGGCACGCTGTACCCACTCATCATTGAGGTCTGCATCATGGATGCCACCCACAAAATTCTTATTCTGCTCCTGGGGGCTCAAAAGTATCCTATCCTCCTCCTCCGGACTCGGAAGTATCCTGTCCTCCCTCGCCGCCAGGGCCACAGACAGGGAGGCCAGCAGAAGCAGCGGGAGGCACAGCAGCCGGGCCATGGGCTCCTCAGAGGCAGAGCACAGAGCTGGAGCTGCAGGAGGGGAGGCGGAGAGCTGAGGCGGGATGCCCAGACCAGCAGCAGCTGCGCGTTTATCCTGCTGGAGCAGCCCAGCCCCACCCCTTCCATGCCCGCCCCTCACTCCTCCTCCTCTTTCTGTCCAGGCCCCTCTTCCTCCATCTCTACTTTCACTGCCCCACCCCCCAGCAAGCTCGTGTCTGCCTAAGTTCCCCCTGTCCATATCCAGCCTCCTACCCCATCTCCTCCTCCTCCCCAATCCTGTCCTCATTGCAGCCTCCCCCGAACTGTGTCCCGCTTCCCCAGTGCTCCCCACTTTGAGTCACCCTGATCTCCACGGAGGTAACATTGATCCTTTGGCTGTGAAAGCAATGTGACACCCTGTTTACTCAGAAAAGGGAAAAAAAAAAAACCCAAAAAACAAACAAAAAAAACCACAGGGTTTGGTCTCCTGGGGTCTTCAGATGTCAGGGGCATCCAGGAGCACTTGGTCACATTCTCAGAATCTCTGGAGCAGGGAGGTTATTTCAGAAAGTTCCAGAAGACCTTGCCCACACCCTGCTGTGGATAATTTCTTTGTCAAATTTAAGGGAATTAACCTTTTTGTAAAAGGTCACTGGCTTGTGTTTTCATAACTCATTATTCAATGAACAAACCTGTCACCAGCTACTCCCCGTGCCAGGAGTTCTAGGACTTGAAGACTGAACCTGGATGAAGAGCCACAGAGGTGACGTGCAGACCTGCCACCCAACAGAGATGTGACCCGAACCCGTGAGCAATTTAACATTTCTAGTAGATGCATTTTAAAAGATAAGAATAAATGGGTGAAAGTCATGTTAAAATATGTATTTAACCTAAGATAGCCATAACATTATTTCAGCCCATGGGACCAATTATTGAGATGCTTCATGGGTTTTTTTGTCTTGGTTTGTTTTGTAAGCCATTGAAATAATTCCCTGTGTATTTTTCACTCTTAGATCAGGAGTCATTTTGGACTGGCCCCATTTCAAGTGTCCCGTGGCACACGTGGCTGGTGGCTGTGGCAGTGCACAGTCCGTTCCTGCACAGTGTGTGTAGGGACGGTAGGTTATGATCACAAATTATTATCAGGGAGTTAGAATTGCTCTGTTGGAGTGAAACAGAACGGGGGCTGCAGAGAGACCGCAGGACTCTGGTCAGCAGTGTGGTATCTATGAGATTGGAAAGGTTGAGAAGCCCCAGGCAGCGGGGGGACAGCCAGTGCAAAGGCGCTGAGGTGGGGCTGGGCGGGCCTGCTCCAGGAGGAAGCTCCTGGAGGGGGTGTGAGCAGGGAAGGGAAACACCTGGAGTCTCACTGTAACTGTGGGTGGGGCCGAGTAGAAGGTGCAGGGAGACCCCCGTGAGGGTGTCAGGAGAGGGAGCAGCAGCCGCAGGATGAATGTGGGAGCCCATGGGCCTCTCTTGCTCCAGCCCTAGGTGAGACATGCTTTGGACTTTTTTGCTCTGTGCACTGCTCCGAAGACTTGCCCTATATTTTAAAAATTGCCTTGAATGAGGTAGAATTTACATACAATGAAGTGCCTAATTGTACCTGCACAATCTGCAGGATTTCATTAATACGTACACCCATGTTACCACTTTGTCCAGACCTGTGACATCTGCCTTGCCCCAGACCGGGTGTCCTCCTGCCTCTGCAGCCCACTCTCGTGCCCACCCCGCCCTGGCAGCCCCCATCCAGCCCTGCAGACTGCGTTTTCGCCTGTCCTTAGCTTCCCGGGAATGAGTCCTGCAGTCTGAGCCCCGGGTGTCTTTGTCCTTTGCTCAGTGTGGCTTTCCAGCAGCCCCTGAGTTGCTTCATTGCGGGGATTGAGAGTTCTCCTCCCCAGACCGAGGACTGTCAGAGCCCCCAGCTTGGGAGGCTGCGGGCCTGGGCTGGAATGTGACTCCAGGAGCTGGGAGCAGGGGGATCTGAGCAGACAGCTGCTCCCCGTGTTGTCTCAACCCCACCCTGCAGGCCTGAAGGTGACCCTGTGGCAAACACCCTTATGGTGAGGTGGCAGGCTTGGCCAGAAACACCCGGAAACCCTGGGCCTTTGCAGGGCACCCAGAGGACTCTCCTGGGAGTGGTGGAGATTGAGGGTCTGCCAGCGTCTGCCCGGACCCGCTGTGATCCTGGGGCTCGGCTATGGCAGGGCTGGATCGGCAGGAACTCAACAGTGGAAACAACGTTACTGATGGGTTCATGTTCAGTGTTAGAACTGGGGACCTTGTTACCCAAGGCCCAGCGGTCTTCTCACCCCACTGTGAATCCAGCACCCCTAGAAAAGCCATGCACGCCACCAGACACAGTAGGTGTTCCAGGCATGGTGTTTACTGCTGGGAGAGGGAGGGAAGGTCTTCAAACAGGGCTTCACATGATGCCTCCTATGAGACAGGAAAGTGGGGAGAGATCCCCAGACAGGGAAAGAAAGGAAGTCCCTTACTAGCATAGTGAGCAGAATGGTCATCTCCAAAGGTAGGAGCGAATTCTCTGCTGTGGCTCCCACCTTCCTGGGACACCTGGGAGTCCAGTCCCAGGAAGACATGTTGTGCAGAGGGTAAGCTGAGAGCCAGGCAAACTTCTCCAGTGACGAGAAGTTTGCCTGGCTTCTTTATCACTGGAAAGGAGACGCAGGTCACCCAAACTTCTTTATCACTGGAAAGGAGATGCAGGTCACCCAAACAGCGAGAATGTCCTGGTGGGTGAAGTGAGAGGGAGGGGCTAGAGTGCCGCCCTGTGCCCCATATGTGATGACATCGTGGGTAGTCATCCTCTGTCTGGATGCTGGCATGCACGGCTGGGAGGGTCAGCTGTCCTGATGCAGCAGCCTCTCTAATGTCAGTAGGAAACATACCAGTGTAGGCTGCTCTTAGGAGGAGGTACCAGTGGTGCCCAGTATGGAGTGATAGGAAATGGCAGGTTAGGGTAGGTGGCCAGCTGCTCCAGATGTCTGAAGACCTTAGGCAAATGTGTCTGTCATGCATCTGGAGAAAGAGCTACTTTGTAAAGCATAATGTCTGGGGGTTCAGACCAGCAGAGATGGGCAGGGTTCAGCAGTGAGGTATCAACGTGGTTGAAATGATGGAGCAGGCAGGTGTGGTGGGGTACCTGTAATCCTAGACAATTAGGAGGCTGAGGCAGGAAGATTCCTTGAGTCCAGGAGTTCAATTCCAGCCTGTGCAACACAGTAAAATCCCCATTCCCAAAAAAAAAAAAAAAATGACAGAACACTTCATTCCCTGATTTCCATAGTCCACAGTTTTAAGGATACACTAGGAGGGGCCTAGTGTAGGGATACACTAGCAGCTATGGACTGAGGACCAAGCCTGGGGCGTCCAGCACCCACATAACCTGGAGGAGTCCAGCTGCCGAGGAGGGGGCATGTTTCCCTTCTGCCAGGTAAGAAGAGAAGGTCATGTTTGTCTAGGCTACCTGGTTGGCTACTGATCCCATATTCTGAATTAGTAAGATGAGAAATTAGGTGAGTGGTAGAAGTTCTCTGGAATAAATGAGCAATGGTAAGTGAACACTAAACAATACTATAATTAATGAATGACCAAGCACAGAGAGCATCATCTAAAGGCCAAGTGGTGAGGACAAGTTGGCCAAGAGTTGAGAGTCTGCACATTTGGGTTTTGAGCAACCGACACCGTGGTCTGTGGTAGGAGCTGAGACTGAGGAGCCACAGAATTTGGTGGCTTCTCAAACGGGAAACCCAGGAGCCTTCTTTATGGAGCACCTGGAATTCTCTGGGGTCAAGCTCACCTCTTACGCACTCCCTCCCTCCTTCTTTTCTCCCTCTCCTCTCACGTGGTGGATACCTGGATGCTCCTAAGGTATGAGCCCCAATGTTGACGACACATTTGGCTCTGCTAGGACACGTGGATGCTTCTAAACTATGGGCCAGTGTTGGTAACACATGTGGTTCTACCACATCGTTAGGAAGCTGTGATACTCACGAGAAAGCCTGCTGGTAGCCCCTGCAAGGAAAAGCGAGGGAGGGCAGAGCCCAGTGTCTGAGGTCTGACTGTTTTGCACTCCATGGAGGGAAAGAGAACCCTTTCTCTCAGGGACCAGAGTATGAACAGCCTTCGTGACTTTGGAAGGCAAGTTGACATTTATGTTTCAAAAAGAGCATGTGCCACTGCAAATTCAGTGATTGAAGAACCATGTATGAATGGAGGGGTCTAGGGGAGGCCTCTGGGCTCTAGGGCTGCAGGCTGGTGCAGCCAGGGCTCCATCTGATTCCTTGGGCTGCAGCCTGCTGAGGCCTGGCCACGAGGAAAACTGATGACTCTGAGGAGGTGAGTCATCTCCTGGACATCTCTGGATGAACAGACTTTCTAATTCTGTTTGGGTTACTGCTGAGACTTCCCTGTCACTGTTTGTGTAGCCTTAAATATCAATTCCGTTAGCAAAGTGCAGTGACTGTGGAGAGTGTTTCCTGTTCCTGCTTGGAATCCTGTTCAACCCAGTCACTGAGTGCTGGAGGTCATCGGGACAGACCTGCCTTCTCCGTGACCCTGACTGTCCTCTCCTCCCTGTCACAGAGGAGCTGGATCCAGAGACAAGACTCACCTTGACCAAACCTCAGTTAAGCTCCTCTGAGCCTTCTTCTCCCCTAGGCCTCAACTAGTCCCTAGCTCCAGACCTCCTGTCCTTGCCAGGGCCATGATGCTCAGTTTTAGGAAAGAATCCTGCTAAGTCAGTTTAGAAAGAATCCCCCACTGTTGGTATCTGATCACCCTCAACATCTGATCAAGTTCCTCGTTCCTCAACTTTGACGTCTAAGGCTTTGTCCTGCCTTTAGCAAGAATTCTGTCAGGTCAGTTTATCTAGAAACTTCTACCTTTGATGTCTCTGCTTTATCCAGTAACCCTACCACCCCGATCCTTGGCTATAAACCCCCACTTCCCACTTCCCCTTGTATTTGGAGTTGAGCTCACTCTCTCTCTTACTGTGAG